GTGTCAGGACCAACACGCAGGCCGTCCTGCGCCTAACTTGGGGTGGCCTGGCGAAAGGAAATCAATCGTGCAACAAGCCGAAACAAGTGTCGTTTCACGAAACGAAATCAATCAAGGTTACGGGGCCTGGGGCCCGGGTTCGCAGGGGCTTGGGGCCCAGGACTTGGGGTGGGGCCTCCAGGGCCTGGCCGGGCCTGGTGGGAGGCAGGCGAAGGGGTGGGAGACGGCTGAAACGGCTGCCGCGGAGGTGGGGGCCTGGAGGGAAGCGGGCACGGGATACCCCCCCTACCCCCCCCCGGCCCCCAGAAAGAAAAGAAGAGGGTTTTCACCCTCTCCGTTACTGAAACCCCAACACGCCCCCCAAGGTCGGCGGATCTAAAACCACCCATCATCGACAATCTACTTACCAGTTCTACAGGCGTTGACGTTGTAACAGTCTATCGGGCCCAGCTCGCAAATGTCACATAGGCGCACGAAAACCTGGCCTTTGCCCATTCCTGACCACACCGAAGAGACACAAAGTTTACCCTTCTTTTAAGAAGGGCGTTCCAAGACAGAGGAATTAATGAGATCCATCAACCCAATGTGGAAGGACGGGAAAACATGGCAAGAGGCGAAGAAGTGGGTTTGACTCGAATTGCAGAAGAAGTAGTTGTTGCCATATCAAAAATTATGCAAGCCCAGGCTGTCTGCCGGACCCGCCAGGTACAAGCAAAAACCTCGATCCAGAAACCGGAACCTGACGCGCAAACCTGCAGCTCTACAGCCTGATGCTTCGATAGTTGATGTCCAAGCCCTGCCGTACTGCGCTCAACGCCCAACATCTTAAAAAACTCACGTCAGCGCATGGAGTTGATCGCTACAGTTACAAGTTTCGGGGCTTGGGGGAGCATGCCATGCACATGCTGGGGGCTTGAGTGGTAGATCTTGCAACCAGCAAGAGCCTTCCGACAGGTAGCTCGCAAGACAAAGATGCCAACGTCCAAGGAGGTACTTTGGGAACTGGGATATCCTGAGGGAGTCCTTTGAGGGGTAACTGACATTTTCTGTACTGATCTTGTTTCTGGACTTTATAGATGCTCGACTGTGCGAAGGTTCAGCATATGTAGTTGACTGTAGTTGCAAGGAGACTCAACAGGCAGGTTTTCTGCTTTCTTGGAGAAAGAGCCTTTCTCAGGGCAAAGGTGGGGGGACAGGGCCTTTGCGGTTTGCTTCAGAAACCTTATGAAGAAAGAACCTAGTGCTTTGGATAGATGGCTGTCCGGACATGGCCCAAGGATAATGGTTCTCCCTTGAGCCTCGAGGGCTGCTGTGGGTGACAAGCAGTTGAAGGCAAGAGTCTTACAAGGTGATACACGGCCACGAGTTTGAAGCGCAGGGCGCTTGCTGGCCCAATGTTTGCTTCATGGGGGCTGAAAATGTTGATTGTCACTGCGCTTTGGATTTTTTGTCGGCTCACTGTTGTTGAGTTGAACCTGGCATATGGCCTGTGAATACAATTTGTGGTTATTGTCCGAGCCTGTGGCTGACCCATGAAACCTAGGTATTCCTGCATCAGCTATTGACAGCAAAGCTCGTTGCCAAACCCTTCTTTGTAAGCTCGTGTTTGGGATCCATCCCTCCACTGGGTTCTAAGCCCCCAAGTAAACCCGTAATGTCCTCCATCCATTGCAAAAAGCACCTAGGTGGTGGCTCTGTTGGAAGGTGCGGCCAAGCGGACTTAATTAATAGAGCTCTAGCTGTGACGACCTTGGCAAGGCGTGTTCGAGGATTAGGGGTGAGAGCAAAAATGCCACACCGCATGCATCCAGCCTCCTACCATTGTTGGTCAACAGTTGGCTGAACCCCAGCTAGACCAGTAATTAGGCACAAAGCCTCTTTCAAGGACACGTTGCAGGGTTCTTCTAAGTATTTGTAGGTACATGTCCTCAAAAGCTGCAACAAACTTGTTTCGAAGTCCCTTATAAATAGATGCGCGCCTAAAATCTGCGCAAGCTTCCCAAGCGCCAAGCTCTCTACTTTCCAAGCCCACCTAAGCAGATCCTTGCTGCAGAATGTTCGAGGATAAGGTATTGTTTTAACGTGACCCGGCCTGCCCTTGGGGTAAGGAAATACAATCACATATAGAATTTCAGTCGCGCACAGGTTGCATACACTTAAGGGTCCTGGTCATAGGGCTCGATGCCCTGCAGTCTCATAGCCTCAGATCCTGGCGCCTTATCTGCAAACGCGGTCGGTCCCTGCAAAATTCGTCCATGCAACGGTTCAGAGCGACCACTGCCTGCCTCACCGCCGGGCTCGGATTGCGGGTTTACCTCAATAACTTCTGGAATTTCACAGGGGTCCCCCATGGCCCCCCTTCAAAGAGAATTAATTTCAGCAAATAGCTTGAGTACATGCAGCCGGCTGTGTTGTTGATACCCCAGCCTCGCATGGCATTTCGACTAATTCCAGGGGACGATGACAATGCCCTGGAGGGAAGAGCCAGCTCGAGTGAAGACGCAGGATTTTCTCCGAACGAACCCTTGCAGCTTCCTTCATTTTGTCGCAGCCCTTCAGATCGGGGTGTTCTTGCAGCACGTGTGCCTGTAAGCCATTCCCCACAACGAAGTGGGAGCAACATTTAGGCGAACTGTCAAATGTATATGTGTGAGATTATCAGGTGTATACCTGTGGGCTCACAGGTGGCAAAGATCAACCTAAGGGATATTCTCACATGATACGTTTCGTGATGCGCGCCATAGGAGGTCTGAACACGATGACCTTGGAGTCAAGGCGGAGTGGCTCCGATTGGAAAACGACAGCACTGTCACCCATAACGGTAATGTCAACATTGACATCGAAACTTGGAAAACGATGACACCTACCAATTTTCCAATGACCAGTAATCCAGGCAACAAGTCGAAGCTGGGCGCTCTGTGTGTGTGTGTGCATATATATATACACACACACCCCCTTCGTGATAGATCCTTTGGCACGAAATTCTTGCGAAGGTTGATCAGATGCCCCGTTGGGGAGTATACGAAAAGAAGTACTTGGACCCTCGACCTGAGCTGAAGGCGTACAAAGTGAAACAAGCTGCCTGCACGTCTGAGCCCAACCATGCTCCCAGAAGGAGACGCCAAAGCCCCTGGCCTTGTGGATTGAATGCCAACAGACCTTTGTTCCGCAGGGGTGGAGGTTCAGATATGGGGATGTGCGCGTTGGGTCTCAGAATTTGGCACTTGTAAACTTGCGGACGTTGGTTGGGCAACCCCATCGAATTCGAGAGTCACGATGCTCCCCAAAATGCGATGCCATGCAGAGTACAGCTTTGGGATCAGGACATGAATTTATAAACGTAGGGTGTAGGGTGGGAGGCATGCGATCAGTGATTATGGTGGCAGATCCAGGTTTTCAGGAGTTGTTGGTTTAGAGTTGAGTCATGCATAGCAGAGCATGTTTTCTAGGAGATTGAAGAGTCCACTGATCACTTCATGAAACATGCATTCGTGGAATGCGTCGTATTGGATGGTCACAGGGGGCATGTAGCTAGATGATGCTAGATGATTATTTTTCCGGAAAAGGGGTGGGTGAGGACATGTTACACAACCTGGGATCCCAGCTTTAGTTTTGTAATTTCGCCGGTATAGTCTAGAGAATGCAAGGTGGTGACAAATACTTCTCCATCCATGCTAGATTTTGTTCAGTTAGAATGGCCTATAATTTTAAGATGTGTGTCAATGTCCGCAAGCGCGAGTCGCACCACCGGATCTTGATGACTATGTACCACAGCCAAAGCCAAGCCTTCTGCAAATGCAAGGATCTAAAGGTCATCCCCAGAGATTCATTGCAAGAGTATGCGCGCTGCTTCACGTGACATCTCTGGCTGTACCAATGAGTCAGCGAAGCACTGCGCATGCACGTGCTTAAACCCTGCAGCCATGCCTAGAGCTTTTGTTGCCACGGGTCATGACCGTCAGTCGCCAGATTTCTGGGAGCGCCGTGACTGACAAAGAATAGCTCCTGTGAGGTAAGCCTCCGACTTCCCATCCGAAAAGCGCCGCTGCACAGTGTAGGGGTCTAGCATAGCTTGTGTTTAGGCCATTTCAAAGTGGAGGGTGTTATCTCTCGTCAACCCGAACGTGTTTACGGGTACAAGACCTTACACGCAAAGAGAAAGATCAGGGCCGCAAGTCATTGTGTTTGAAATACGTTGCGTATAAGGTTTCATTTTTGAGACTAGTCCCGAAGCTCTCGGATCGGAGGGGCTGATGTTTCTCATCCGTTTTGGATTGCAAACATCTCGATCAAACAAAGGCCTTGTTTTGAGATGCCACGTCGTGCCAACCAGACATTGGGTCGATGTACTGGGGAGTATACTCGTATTCAGATTTAACGCAAAGGCCTGAACTGCAGATACGCACTGGGATGGACCCTGAAGTTAGGTAGCCCCACAGTCACCCTTTGGTAATCCCAGAGGAAGCTTGCACGAGAAATTGTCCCAGGCCCCCTTCGGTTCAAGAAAGTGGGGCTGTCATAAGGGTGAGTCATCTGATCAACTGCCATTCATCAACTCGAGAGAGGTTCGAGGTGTAGGAACCTCCGCCGCTCAAGCTCTGTAGCGTGACCACAATTCTTTGAGTTCTGTGTATGGCATCCTAAAATTATCTGAAGCTGTGCACTATGAATGTCAGGGGGGGTTGTGCAGCGCATGGTTTTCGGTTTTGAGTACTTGGAACACAGTGAACAGAATCTTGCTGTGTGCAGTTCCATGTCTTGAGCCAGTGTGCTGGTATGTCAGGTTGGCAAGTCATTTTAAGATCAGAGCTTAAATTGAGGGTTTTGGGGTATTGCAGGAGTATTGAAATAGTTGAGAGGGATGCATGAAACAGCCTAAGACCGTTGCAGAACGTATTTACGTCATCATGTCGAGCACCTCAAATCTCGCCGAAAAACTGATGGCAGCGGGACCACGGAACCTAGATGAGTCTGACGTAGTACCCTTCAAGGCCGACAACAAGTCAGAAACAGCTATGACTTCATGCGATGTTGTACTTTATTTAGCGCTGGCTTGTCATGACAAGGCACCTTCCATGCATAAACTCCGATAGAACAACTGAAAACCGCGCCCTCCCGATCCCAAATGGCCCAATCCCAACTGCCACCTGAAGTGAAAAGCAATTGCGCCCAGTGGTGGATCATTGAAAGTGTCAGGAGCAAGACCCCAGCAGCGATTCCCGTGCAAACCTTGGCCTTCAGGTGATTTCTTGAAAGACCGCTACTTTTCGGTACTTGATACAAGATTCTGGGCGTAGCATGCTGTAGGTCCGACAAGTCCCAGTATGAGTCTCACCCGGGGCATTCAATGTGAAGCATGAATGATTCGTAATGCTGTTCCGCACCTTCACTGTTGGGTGGTCAGAGTCAGATTGCGTAATATGTCGTGTTCACTTCGCCCGGCAACCCATCTTCCCGGCGTGCCAAAACGCATCGCTTTAAAGCCGAAATCCACTCAAGGGTTCCACAATTGCCCAGCTACAAAGTGCCCCTTCCCGCAAGCGCCCAACCCCAGAGTGTCACAGAGTGTTCATACAGGCCAAACCCAGAAATTGTTTGGAAGTGCTTAATTGAGCCTATCGTGATGTCTTGAGGCTTGTCCATCAGCGGAAAAATGACAGGCATTCTGGAACATATCTCTATGTTCAAATGATCTGGCAACTACTTGCGTCCTCGAACAGATGCTGCCGATTAATCAGGACTCATCATACCCGGTCTACCTGAGGTCTTGCAACAAGAATCCACCAGCCTGATGCGTAGACGTCACGCTTCCGCAACATCCCATGAATCCCGTAATGTTGCAGAATTCTGGGGGTATAGCCTGGCAGCAGCAGTCTAAGTAGGTATTGACCAGCTAACAGAAATCAAATAAACGATTTCAGCAGGACCGACTTGTCCCGCGTCGCGACGAGAAGATGTTTTTGCCGGGGAAATAGGGCATGGTTTCAACCCTTTCGGTATCCAGATCCAAGAATCTTGCAATTGCAGTTTGATGGGCATTGCTCCAAACCCTGAATTTTCCTTTCCCTCGAGGAGAAGACGCTCAGTAGACACTTAGACTTAATCTGTCCTGCCACTTGCGCTGCCAAGACTGACCTGAAAGCGGTCTCGGATTCACCCTTCTCCTATGAGATCAGCTGGGCCTGGGTCTCAGCGGCCTAGGGTTATAGGGATTGGGTTAACAAGTCTGGGTAAGGTGGTAGTCTCCAGGTTTACTGTTTTAGAGATTGGGTTAGGTGGAGGCGTTTGGTTCGAGGTTTGGCTGTTGGGCGTCCTGTTTTGCGTTTAAATTTGTAGAGGGCAGCGCACTTGTAGGCTAAAAGGCTTAGGTTTCAATTGCGTACGGCAAGCTCTGTGCTGTGTAATCTGCAGTTCTCATTGCCAACTTACTCCAAGCGAGGGAGAAAGCCGTTTCATGTTACTGACTGTGAAGTTGCAGAGGTAAACTTAATTTGGGAAAGGTAGCACTGATCCTTTCTCTCACACGCATGTAATTGGTAAAGTTAGCATGGGTTGAAACGTGATTTATCCAAGGAATTGCCGGGACTCGCCCCAACTGCCAGACCTGCCACCCTGAACCTGAAAACCATCCCGACCCGAATATTCTGCAGGGTCTGCGGCAGGGTCTCATACGGCCAGCAAGCAATAAACCAGAGTTTGCGAAGGGCTAACTTGTCAGTTGTTT